CTTTTTTTGCTATCTTGTTATATCTGAGCAAATCAAATGTAAATCATAAATCAATCAATTTATCTCCAGAACATTAACAATCGTCATTTCATTTCGAATTCAATTTCAAAAAAAAAATAGTTGCCTAATTTACACAAAATTGAAAAAGTGCTCTCGTGTAGTCACAGTCTATTTGCATTTGCAAATAATTCTGTGCGACATTTTCACTTATACTGTGCTTAGCTTGGCGGCATTTTCACACTTTTCAATAGTTTCCACAAAATTCTAAACGCACTTAGGTGCACATTTGTACCAGAGTGGCGCTTAGACTGTGATTAGCATGGGCAATTTTTTTAATTTTTAATTCCAAATTACAAAAATATTTTATGGAAAATGAAAAAAGATGTAATAATTTTTTATCCTCAAAAGCAATTATTTTGGCAATACAAGCAGAAAGTTTTTTAGATCATTCAAATTGGTCGCTTAGTTCACTCAAAAACCGCCATTTTTGCACATTTAGCCTTGTGTCTTCGAAATGACGGGACCTGTCTTTGCCAAAAACTAATCACCTCTTCTCCCAAACATTACAAATTGAATGTTTTTTAGATCATTCAAATCCGATACTCTGTTCTCTTAAAAACTGGATTTGTGTTTTTTGCACACTTTGCTCCGTATTTCCGTAACTGCCGGGCCTGCCTTTGCCAAAAACTAATCAGCACATCTCCCTATTAATAGGGACCAAATGTTTTTTAAACCATTCAAATCGATTGATCCGTGCGCCCGAAAACGTGGACAAAAATGCGGACATACACACACACACAAACATCCATATTTTTTGAGGTATGCTAAAATGTTCAGAAACCTTCAAAACGTCGAGAAATGCAAAAAATTTCATCTTCGGTTTTCGGACCATTACTAAAGAAAGTTAAAATAGTATAAAATGTTGAAAATCCAATATATTTTATCCCAAAAGTGTTCAAAAATGAAAGTTGATACAAAAATTTTGAGATTTCACAATAATTCCATTTTCCGGCTGAGCGCTCTTCGAGTGACCCTCGAACGAGGGCTTGTTCCAGGTTAAAAACACATTTTAGGAACTCGCTCGACGACGCATTTATTTAAGTAACAAAGTTGATCAAATTAATACGTTTAATTATAATTGTTATATATTTTTACCTAAACCTAATAGTCTTACACCACTGCAACCAAACACATATTGAAAATATTTCATACTTTGGAAAAAATATTCTCAAACTATTATAAAAACGACTTCTATGTTATGCAAAAGTGCTTCGATAACTGCGGTTTATTTGAAGTATATATATTTTTTTAAAAATAGTATCATATTTTTTCTTCTATTTCTAAATCAATTAATTAATTTCCATAAGGCTGTTACATGTATTAATTGAAACGCACACATCCGCTTCCTCGACAACAAACTTTCTTCATTACATAGAAAATCTTATACATAACGAACGCACTTTAATCGAAACTAATTGGTATTATTAATTTTGCTAAAAAGTGCAAATTTAATTATAGGGATAAAAGAGTATATTTAGTGCAAACATATGAAATATGACGGCCGACAAAAAATTGAGTTTTAGTAAAATTTGAAGGATTATATAAATCGTATTCAAATTTATCAATTTATTGCGTGTTAAATATATTTTAGATATTTTTAACCTTTGCAAAGCGTATTGCGCTAATTTATATAATTATTAATTTATATCTATATTTTTCACCAAGATTGCAATGATTTTTTGTATAAGTAACACCCAAATTATAATTATATTGACAATTTATTATACCAAGCTTAAATATTTATCGTAAATTATCATATTTATTGAGCGCGTATATGAGCGAGTCCCTAAAATGTGTTTTTAACCCGGAACGAGCCCTCGTTCGAGGGTCGCTTGAAGGACGCTCGGCCGGAAAATGAAATTATTGTAAAATCTTAAGATTTTTGTACCAGGTCTTATAATTGAATACTTTTAATATAACTTGTAGTTGATTTTACATATTTTCTATATTTTATTTATATAAAAAACGCTAATTATATATTTAAAATGCTATAAATGGAATACAAAATTACATATCAAATTAAAGGGATCAAGATCAAATTATTATTAATAATGTGAATATTTTATTATAATAGAATTCATTACTATAAATATATATGTATTAAGATATATAAATATAAAATATTAAAAAAAATTAAATTTTATATATAAAAAATTTACTTTGAGCTATCAAAATTCTAAGTTATTAGTATTATGATAACTAGTAAAGTAAATTGAGCGGTACTTTTTTTGTATTTTAATTAATATCTTGGAAAGTTGCAGGTTTAGGTTAATATGTTAAGATAAAATGAAGCTTATAAAATTATTTATATTTTGGTTGTGCTAATGACTTTTATGCCAGAACAAATTAAGTCTTTAATTTACGTTCAAACTTGAAATTTGAGCATTTTGCTTCCTGTTTTCTACACGTAGTACCATCAAGTGCAATTTTTGGTTTGGTATTAAATATTAGGTTGTCAAATATTTCCCTTCCGCTTTTTTGCTCTTGGTTTATAATACAAAAAGGCGGAAGGGAGATATTTGACAACCTTTGCTATTTTAACAAAAAGTTGCTATTTTAAGTTAAAACTGTTTTAGACTAAATTAAAGCTTATAAATTTTTCTATATTTTGCTTGTACTGGTTATTTTTATGCAAAAACAATTTTCATCACAAATTTGCATCAAAACTTATAATTTGTCGTGTCCTGATTTCTGTCTTATTATGCCATTTATTTGACTTTTTACCCATAATAACCGCATAATTTTATAGATTCCGATACAAGATGTGTTTAGTGGTTAATGGAATTCGGAAACATGTGATGGAAGAGTTATAAAATCTATATTATAAGATTAGAAAGTTAATAATAATTTACATTGCGCAACGTCGGACGAGAAAATGTTAATTCCGAATCGCCGGAGGCCACTTGTAGGATAAGATACGATGATAATTATGTAATGATTTGGTGATTTAGTGATTGATTTTGATTAAATCGATTTATTTGATCGATATTGATGACCTTGAACAGACGTAGAATCTGTTGTTCTTTGGTAAAAGTAAAAGTGATACGTACAATCTAAATAAACGACAAAGAAATGTAGAAATTCACATGCAGCAAATTTTAGGTTTGGAAGCAATTTAAGGTCATAATTCGTTCCTAGATAAAAATCACTAATGCAACCAAAATGTAGATAATTTTATTAGCTTTAATTTATCCTAACATAGTTTCAACCTAAAATAACAACTTTTGATTCAACAAATGAAAAATGACACTTGACGGGACTACATATATAGAATACAGGAATAGATATGCAACAAATTGTAAGTTTGAATGCAATTTTTAATCATAATTTGTTTTGGTATAAAAATTGGTAGTACAACCAAAATATGAAAAATTTTATAAGATTTGATTTGTTTGTTCCAACCTATAATTGCAACTTTTCAAGATATTTATAAAAATACAAAAAAATGTCACCACGCGTCAACTACTTTAGTCGAATAAAAAAACCTGCCAGTATAATTGAGTACAAATTTATTCCATTATTTTAAAACTATCAATTTTTTGAGCTAAATTAAAACTCAAATTTGTTCTTTAGTCATTTGTAGAAATATCTATCATTAAATATTAAGAGTAGTTCGAATTTTTTAGAATTTACTGAACATAAGAAAAATTAAAATCCATTTAGCATGCCCGGAAAAATTATGCATTTTCAATTGCAATTTTAAAGTGTACCGAGTTGTAGTAAGATTTTATATATTTAGATTAATATAATTAATGTTAAAGATTATTTAATTTTGTACAAATTTGTTTAATATTTCGTTTAAATTAGACAAACGGTTTAAAAGTTACAAGAGATGCAATAAATAAATGGACACAATGGTTTATCAAATCATCCCTGAAGACTATAAATAATTGTTACGGTTTTAAATTTCATTTTAAATTTTTTTTTATATTTTTTTTATTTTGTCTAAAACAGTATCATCATCATCAAAAATATCATCAAATATTAATTTAAATGAAATTATTGTAAATAATTTTAAACACCTAATTTGTGCAAAATTTTTGTGGTTTGTGCAAAATAATGTAAAATGCAAAAAATATATTTATTTTATTTATACATATAAACTTATATATGTATACTAAATATTAAAATAATTATTAATAAATATATACAATATATATTAAATAGTATGTACAAAAATATATTTATATATATTTTTATCTTATTGGTAAAAAAACTTAAAATAAATAATTAAACTTAAAATAATACTAAACTAAAAATTTAACTAATAAAAAAATATTAATTTTGGTACTTAATTTGTGTAAATGTTCTCTAATATTTAAATTAAGCTAAAACATATTTTAATCGGGGTAAAAAGTAAAAATATAAATATGAAAAATTTTAATATGTATAAAAAATTATACATAAAACAATTTAACTTAAAAAAAATTAAAAATTAACTAAAAAATAATTATAAATCGATTTTTATAAATATAAATTTAGATTCAAAGATTAAAAAATAAATTAGTTTTAAAATTAAATTTGAATTTGAATTTGAATTAATTTCAAAATTTATTACTATAATTATATATTAACTCTTGTTATAAAAATAAATAAAAATTTATAAGAAAAACGAACACATTAAATTTAATTTTAGTAAAAAATGTCTAATATTTTTTTATTGAAAAAAATAAATAAATTTTAATTAAATGATTAAAATAAAAAAATAGTTAAGTAACTTAAGTAAAAAAAACAATTATATAAATATCAAAATTATTATCATGGTTAAATTTAAATTATGAAAAATATTCAGACAATTTAATTTATTTTAAATCAACATAATTTTATTAATAAATATAAATAACTTAAGAACTTTTACTAAAAAATTAGTCAATTAATTTATTAGTTATTTTATTTCTTTGAATTCGAAAAACTACTAAGAAAAGAATTTAACAATTGTCCTTTAAAATCTAAAACAGGTTGCAGAAACGCAAACAAATCCGAACCGGTTTGTTCCTAAAAACAAAAATTTATATATTTAAAAAAATTTAATTAAATGAAAAAAATCACCGACCACCAATATAAAAAAATTATATTTTATATATAATATTTTAATTTTATATTAATTTTACCAACCACCAAAAGTAATGAAGGAATGAATATAAATTGATAAATGAACTGATGATGATAATCGAAAGGTTTTTAAGACTAAAATGATATATAAAATATATCATATTTAAGAAATTAACAACCTAAACTTTTTTAAGTAATTTATATTAAATGAATTTAAAAATAGATAGTGCAGTACTAGTTTAATTTTTATTAAATATAAATTTAGAATTATTAATTATTACCAATATTTTATTCATTTTTGTGGCAAAAAGAACAAAAACATGGGTAAAAAAATAGCTAAAATCAAATCTAGTTTATATAAAAAGTATTTAAATATAAGTTTTGATACAAAAATCTTAAGTTTTTACTATAATTGCATTTACCGGCAAACGTTGTCTCAACTACCCTCGAGGGGCACCTTGTTTCAGGTCAAAAACAAATTTTAGGGATTCGCCCCGGAAACGCTAACGCGTAAAATGTGATTATTATAATTGTCTAATTAAATATGAAATTAGTACGTTACATTGTTAAAAAGCTCTGAAGTTAGTGAAAATTAGTACGATATATGAGTTGTTAATAAAATGAAATGAATTAAATAAAAAAAGTTGGTTAAAACTTCCATGATATTTTTACCCTAGCAATTGTCTTTCCAGCCCTCTTATTATTTTTAATATTGTATGAATCACATCTTGTTGAACTTAAAACCTTGCAATAATATTTTTATTTGTGCCAGACATTCACCCATTCTAACCGGATTTATATTTATAATATATATATATATATATATATATATATATATATATATATATATATATATATATGTATATATATAATATATATATATATATATATATATATATATATATATATTAAAACGACAAAAAAACATCTATAAACTTGTACTATAAGATTTTTATAAAATACGAAACGTTTATAATTTAGAACGTGTGATTATTGATAAGAAATCATTAAAAGTCTAGGTAATTATAAACTAAACTTTTTTGGTCTGATTTGAAAGTATTTCTATGTTTCTAAAAAAATTATTTGAGTTTTTGATTTATATAAATAATATTTAATATTTTGAACAAAAATTTATATATCTATCATTTATTAGTTATTATATATTACATTTGTTTATAAAATGTGTATACAAATTATTACTATTTTGCTCAATAATTTATTAATCAAATGTTTCGTTTTTCAATTCCCTTACAAATTTATACATTTATCATTTACATACATCTTTTACTTTTTATCCATATATTTATTTGATTTTATTATTTATGTATTTATTGTATTATTCATAAAATTATTTATTTATTACTTTCATTATTAACAGATTTATTTTACTATACAAATTTGTTTTTGTCAAATATATCATAAATATTACTTTATATTTTATTAAATTTTCAGTTGCCCAGCTCTCTGTTTAATTGTAGTTTTTTTGTTTAATCAAACCACTATATATATATAAAATGTTGTAACAAACCGTGGACTTTTTTATGATTCGCAATAATGTTTATCAGAAATATGATTAATTCGTTTAGTAATAAATTAAGTATGAAATTTGATATTTAGAACAAAATGAATGACTAATAAAATAGTTAAAATTGGTAATAAATTTGTTTAATTATATAACGAAAAGTATAATTAAAATTTCAGTTTTTTAAATCAATAAAATTTGTATCATAATTTTAGCAAAACATGTAGTAGTACTTTTTTTTAATTTATTTATTAAAATCAATTTTATAATAAATAAAATAAGAATAAATGATATATTGTGCGCTATATAATTATATACAATCAAATAAAATAAAATTGTAAAAATAACTTATAAAATGTATATGCTTGACTAATATACGCGTATACAAAATCAACATGTATTATTAGAGAAAATCATAAAAAAATCTCTAAAAATATGCAACATGTGTTCAAAATGTATCAAATAGTTAAAATCGAATCTAGTTTTATATAAGTAGTGTTTAAGTATAAATTTTGATACAAAAATTTTAAGATTTTCCTATAACTCTATTCACCGGCCGAACGTCCTTCAAGCGACCCTCGAACGAGGGCTTGTTTCAGGTTAAAATCACATTTTAGAGACTCGCCCCTAAAGTGCGAACGCGAAAAATTTAATTATTGTAATTATATAATTAAAGTTAGTACGTTATATTGTTAAAAAAGCTCTAAAGTTAGTGGAAATTAGTACGATACATGAGTTGTTAATAAAATGAAATGAATTAAATAAATTAAATTTATAAAATACCTTTAATTTAAAATCTACCACGGCCGGCGTAGACGCTAAAATAGAAAATATTGAATATTAAAATAATTTTAGATTACAACTCATATACTAGTTAAAATATAGACACTAAAATCCTAATTTTCATGTGACAATTGGCAAAACCCTAAAAATATTTTGAACATTTTTTAAAAACTAGTTTAGGTGTCCAAATAGGCTTAGTTTTTTTTTTGTAATTAACTTACCAAGACTTAATTTTTAAGAAGGTTTTTTATAAAATCTTAGCCAAGTAAAAAAATCAAAATGCACCAGTTAGAATTGAATTTGTAATTATTATGAAATTTTCAAGTAAAAAAACCAAATGATGTTTAAAATCATATTTAATATAAATTAATTTCTACTAATTTTATTACTATTATTCTCTAATTATATTATAAATATTTATTTTGTGAATGAAATTTAATAAAATAAATTGAATATAATTATAGAATTTTCTTTACATTAGTTTAGAATTTTTTCTAGAATTACTTAGAAACAAGTGCTTTATTTAATTAAACCAGTTAGAATTAAATTTGTAATTATTATGAAATTTGCAAGTAAAAAAATTCAAATAATGTTTAATTTCTCACTTAATATAAATTAATTTCTATTTTCTCTAATTAATTTTATATATTTTGTGAATGAAATTTATTAAAATAAAATTAAATATAATTATAAAATTTTCTATTTATTAGTTAGAATTTTTTTCAAATATTTAAAAACAAGTGTTTTATTTAATATTTATATTATTTTGTCCTTGAATTCTAAACTTTTACCAATAGTCTTATTCGATTGCAACTAGTTTACGATATCGAAAAGATCAATAAACCATAATAGTATGCAAATATATGCACTAAATCTATTTTTTTCAATTTATCGATTTATTTATGGACATGTAGTGTTACGAATATTTTTATGAAAATAAAATTACGCAAACTTTGGAATCTTCCCGAGAAAGAGAAATGTCGGGACAAATAAATTTTCCATATATGTCGGGCACAAATAATATCATATGTCAATTTTAATCCAAGGAAATAGTCAGAGAGCTGGTGGAAAACGAGCTGTGCAGATCAGAGGTGTGGACTCTGAATAAATCCAAAAGCAGTAGAAAGTAGATAATATTAAATGTTACTAATTTTAAGGATACAAGAACTGTACTTTGTAAAGAAAATTGAGTTGAATACAAAAACGAAAATTGATGGTGTAAATAAATTTCTAAAAAAAGTCAAGAGAGGTATATAAAATACTCATAAACCATAAACCTGCCTTGCAATGGTCTAAATAATAAAACGAATTTATATATATATATATATATATATATATATATATATATATATATATATATATATATATGAGTAATCCGATGTAACACTTACCTAATATCATTTTTTTTACTATTTACAATTAACTCGACTAGAGTAATAAATAAAATAGTAAAGTACTAAAAGTACTTACATACTCATTATGTGATTACTCGTATTACACATGTAACACATTGTAAATTAACATACATACACACATAGAGAAACAATTTCTAACTTGTTTGATTGAGAAATTATGAAATCTGATATGAGAAAAGGTAAAGTAGATATAAAAGGTACTTTGTTATGACAAAAGATTTAGATTGACTTGCACCGTCGGGAAAATGAACAGAGGAATCTTATTATTAGTGAATTTATTGATTTTTTCTATTAATGTTCTTATGTAATCATTTTAATATCGTTCACAACTTTCTTCGGTGCTTCTGAATTTAAAATAAGACAACTTTTTAGATCAATTTAGATTATACAAGAACTAAAACAAAACAACAGATTTATAGATTATTACTTAACAGATACTTTCAGACTTGAATCACATTAGCGATTTTTTTTTAATAAATTTTTTTGCACCAAATCATTTTGCATTCCATATTTTTTGCGTTTCTTTCGATAGAAAGTCCAATAAATTTATATATATATATATATATATATAAATTTATATATATACATATATATTAAATAAATTATTAAAAATATAATTTTCCACTTACCGCAGGTGCAGGGGCTTGAATTTTCCCAATATTGGAATTAGGGGCTGCCCCTCCACCGGAGGACGCCCCTAAAAAGGAGGAAATTAGGCTCTTGAAAAATGTTCCAGAATCCGGGGGCCCTGCTGAAGGGTCGTCACGGGTTCCACCCTAAAAAAATAAAAAAAAAATGTGATAGAAAGCAGTTAACCCAACTATAGTTAAAAGTATCTATATAAATGTAAAAAAATCAGAGAGAAAATTTTTCACATACACATTTTTCAGCATACTGTTATTTTATTTATTTTTGAACAATCAAGAAATGAAATCAAAATCCTAAGATAATTAAAAAAAAGTCAAACTAGTCACAACAAAATTAAAGTGTCCTTAAATCAAGAAAAACTTCCTATTTATTTATTACATTTATGACTTTAGTAAAATCTATCAACAGACTTTAATTTTAGTTTTCTTTCAACAAAAAAAAGAATGGCGCTATTTGAAGTAACAAAGTAAATCAATAAAGTTACAAAATAAATCAATCCATAGTTAATTATTCCTAAAATTGATAAGGGATGTTTTTGTAAAAATACTGAATTAATATTATACTTTATTTATTTATATATTTTTAAGGTAAATATATTTTAATCATTTTAAGGTACTGGTAAATCCAGTAAATTAATTACATATCTATTCTCGTAAAATCATTAATTTTATGTTTGAAATAATTCCATAACTACTTTAAATGATGTTTATAATTTTTATTAGAATCTTGATGAAATTTTATTTATTTAATGTACCCATTATCGTTAATAATAAAAGCATTTTGTTTAGAAAGTTATCGATTAAATTTGTTTAGAAACTAATTTATCGACCGTTTATCAAATTAAAATATCTTGAAAATCATCGTGAACGAAATTGAAAGTGTTTAAGATTCTGATAAATAAATAAATTGTATATAAATATAAATATATATACATACACATACACATACACATATATATATATATATATATATATATAAATGTATGTATGTATTAAATAATTATTTAAACTTACCGCACTCAGCTGGGCAAATAATCTACCAAGGAATGTACCGAAGAACTGACCATTATTTTTCTAAAATTAAAAAAACACAAATAACATTAATAAAAACTACAAATATATTTTTAGAAAATTGTATAAACCTTAAAATATAACCACACACTAATTTGAACTAAATTTGATAAATTTTCATTCATTTTATGATTAATTACCCAAGTCTTTACCAGATCTGATGCATGCATAAGATATTTTATCAATATTAATATCTAAGGACTTGGTATTTTATATTTTGGTTTATATAAGTCTATTAATAAATTTATATTAAAAATACTAAGTATTAATGATTATTAATTAATATTTTTTAATTTAAACTTACAGCACCGCCTCCAGAAAATCCATCAACACCAGTTGTTATATATTTGGCAAAAGTTGCACCTAAATTTTCGTTCGGTCTCTGCAAAAAAATTGAATTTATATATAAATAATTATGAAAATATAAAATTGAAGGTTGTAATATAATTTACAATATTTTGTTTAAATTTGAAAAATATTAGGTTCTATTAAATCATATCGAGAGTGTTGTAAAAAATATTTTAAATCGAAGAACAAAGATAGAGAAGAGTTTTAGTACTGTGATATACTGTGAAGTAAAAATTAAATTTTGACAAAACTAGTAAAAATAGAATTAAATGAATGATTTAAATGAAATTTATAATAGTTTGTTCAAATTTATTAAATACTAAGATCGTCAACAGCACGTCAGAAGTATTTTAAAAAAATTATGTTTAAAATAAAATAAAGATAATTTTAGAAGTCTCATATCGGTTCATTTTTGCAAATTTTAAGTATTTATTCGTAATATGTATAAAATATAAAATATCCACATTTGAAAATTCATTACTTTTAATTTATATTCTATAACCACTAGTTATAAAAAATATTAAAAATTGTAAAGTTTTAATTAATCTAAAACAAAATTGTATAAAATACATTAATTATTTACACACTTAATTATTTTTATTTTTTTTAAATTTTCAGTAAATTAATTTGAAATAAAAAAAATTGGAACAATAAAATGGTTTTTATACAACTTTTTTTTAAATAACTATATGAAGCAAACTTTAATTTGAATTTATTAAGAAAAATATTCATTCATTTTATGAATAAAATGATTCAATTAAAAAATAGAAGAGTGAAGCAAAATTTATATGGGTGAGATATTCTAATCTATGTTAATATATATATATATATATATATATATATATATATATATTAAATAAAATATTAATTTACCATTAAAAGTCCTCCTAATAATTGTGTGGCTGAACCAATGGCCATATTAACATCTATACCATTTTCCTAAAAAAAATAATTCATAAATAAATAAATTTATATACATATATATATATATATATATATTTATTTATTTATATAAATATTTATTTATCACTCACCCCCAAAAGATTTGTTAAAATTCCAGCAAGGGCTGCAAAAAGTGCATTTGCATCTGACATTCCATTTCCCTAAAAAAATAGATAAAAATAATTTATATTTAATTTATATATTATTTAATAATTTATTAGGCCATATAATAATTAATTTATTATAAATAATAAATATTGCAAGACAATATTTGAAAAAATCTAAAATATGAATATTGTTTAAAATATTTAAAGGAATCATTTCCCAGTGTGTTCGTATTTTTCTATTAATAATATTATTTTTGTATCAATTTTATGATCATATTTGTTCTTGTTTTGTCACAAGTTATTATACTTAAATACTTATTGTTAATAAATTGGTTTGAAATACTAAAATATATGAGAATTGTTAATTTTTTTTCATTTATTTACATATAGACTCACAAAAAATTCATTTTTTAGTAAAGTACTAATAACCTAATAATTCAACCGACATAAAATATTTTTAAAAAAACTTTGTGTCAACTCTGGAATTTCAAAAAAAACTTAGTAATTAGTTAAAAAAATTTGAATTTTTCGATTTTTTAATTTTTATTTAGGTTTTTTCCACTCACCCCTCCACTAAGACTTCCAATTAAACCAATAAGTCCATTTCCAGCCCCTGTATCATCATCATCATCAAAATCCTCCTCCTGAATTTCTTCCTGTCTGGATTCGACGACTGTGTCGTTTTTAGTCGAAATTGCTGGTATTGTCGAAATTTCATTAGCCTAGTAAAAGACATATATATACTTTAAAAAAAGTACATCAGGCACAAAATTAATTTTATATTTCATTTACCTCAGGGTTGACAGGATCCAACTGCCTCTTGCTCCTTCGAATATTTTCAGTCAATTCTGCCTAAGGAAAAACATTGTGATAAATTTTTTAGTTAACTCTGTCTAAGAAAAAACATTGTGGCAAAATTTTTAGTTAACTCTGCCTAAGAAAAAACATTGTGATAAAATTTTTAGTCAACTCTGCCTAAGAAAAAAACATTGTGATAAAATTTTTAGTTACTCTGCCTAAGAAAAAACATTGTGACATAATTTTTAGTTAAGGGGGTCTTCCTATGTGATGAGTTGAAAAAATTGAATTTTTTTTTATTTCATATTTCAGTAGATTATACCTTTAAAAATAACATATTAAAATTTCAAATCGATATCTCAAATAGTTTTTGAGTTACAGTCATTTAAAAAGTATACATATAGTATATAGTACAACGATCATTTTATCTTTAAACGCGTTTTTCTCAAAACTGTGTTTTTCAAACTTGTCTCCATTGTATCTCAGAAACGGCTAGACCGAATTACTTGAAATTTACAGGGCACATTCAATATATTTAAACGCATGGAATGACCTATTATCAATCAAAAATTTCAAAACTTCGATTTTTTATAGCAAAAAAACTAAAAAAAAAAACGCCTAATTTGCAACTTTTATTTCAAATGTCTATAAAACATCCAATTTTTTTTGTATTCATTTGATTCTAGATCATTCCGTGCTTTTAAGCCTACAAATTAAAACGCCGTTTATTTTTTTTTGGTCAGATAAGCCGATCAGCCGGAATCGTGGAGACAGTGGGAGCTCTTTTTTTTGAGGGGGGGGTGTTTAGAGCGCTGTAACTCTAGTTGGACTAAATTTTTTTAGCTGAAATTTTATATTTATACTGTCCAAATATGTATTAATAAATGATAAAAAACTTGAAGCTCTAACTATTTACTGGTCGTAGAAAAAAAATTCTAAAATATCCCTAAAAAACAGGCCGTCACATAGGAAGACCCCCTTAACTCTGCCTAAAAAAAAACATTGTGATAAAATTTTTAGTTTCTCTGCCTAAGAAAAAATATTGTGACAAAATTTTTAGTTAACTCTGCCTAAGAAAAAACATTGTGACAAAATTCTTAGTTAACTCTGCCTAAGAAAAAACATTGTGATAAAATTTTTAGTCAACTCTGTCTAAGAAAATGTTTGTAATTAATTTTTTTTGTAGGTTTGGGTTTGTAGGTATGTACTTACTAAACTTTCTAGAATTTTTTTGATAGATTTTTGGTTCCTTTCGTTTGGTTCAAAATTGTACATTGGGCCGGTTGCATCTTGTAAAGATTGCGAATTTTCGATTTTTAGTCGTTTAGAATTTTCTCGGACCCGAAGAGCTTTTGCTGCTTCTTTCTTTAACAACTGAAAAAAAAATATTTAAATTATTATTAATTATTTTAATTATTATTTATTTATTTATATTACCTCTAGTAGTGCTGCTTTCTGGTCCTCGATATTGATATCATCGATTTCCGATGAAAATAAATTGGTACCACCAATTTCATCATTGATTTCGGGAACTGGTAAAGAATTTACCAGGAAAGGCGTTGCCACCAAAAAAATCACCACCGACCACTTATACATATTAACGACACTGAAAAAATAACAAAAATATTATAAAAATATATATATATATATATATATATATATATGTGTATATATATATATATTGATAAATATTTAATAATTAAATTAGTACGATTTATATACTATAAATAAATCGGTATGAATTTTATTAACATGAAATTAAGCACTGTATTTTTTTTTTAATTTAATCAAACGGAAAAGTGCAATTATTTATTGATAAGTAAATTAGATTCGTTACACAAATTTTCACGTTTTAGATTTTTCTGATCTAGTTTATACATTTTCATTTATTTTTTAATTTATCTGTTTTATATTTTATTAGGGTAAAATAATTTATTTTTCTAATTTTGTTTAGATTTTCTTATAATATATAGATGATAATAATTTAATTAATAATATGATTGATTTTTCTATATTTCATTTTTTCCCTATATTCATTCACTTTAATTATATTTATAAATTTATTTATATGTATAAATTAACTTTTTTTTTTAATTTAATCTGCAAAGAATTCATTCAAAATTTATCATTTTTTTTAGTTTTGTAAAAAAATCTTGTGTATTAATTTTGATAAATATTATATACAATAGAAAATAAATAACTTTAAACTTTGCGTTATATAAACCAAATTTAATTAAACAATCTAATTATTAACAAATTGATTGAAATTGTTTTTGTCCAACTATTTAAAACTAACAAGAATTTCTCAACAAATTTAATAATTTTCATTAAGTCATATTTAATAATTTCAAAAAATACTTAAAAAAGTTCTGGAAACCACATTTGTTGATAAATTAATATTTATAATATTTTTTTAAATTAATTTATTTATAATTATTATCAGGCTAAAAATATAATACTTTGTTGTTTATTGATTAATAAATATAATAAAATTTTTATAATATTATAAATTAATTAAAATATATATCTGATATTTCAAAATATGAGATTAAATTGAATTTCTCTGAATATCACATTTATTAATATATTTTTATTTATTATGAATTTCAAAATTAAATTCTTTATTTATAATATATTTTACCAAAATAAATATATTATTCATAAATATATCAAGACACTTAACACTGTTATTTGTTTTATTTTTATATATTTTTATTTTTGTTTTTTAAGTTTAATTATTATTAAAAATGTATTTTTAGTTATAAATGCCAAACTAAGCCAAATAAATTTTTATTATAATTCCACATAAAATGTATTTTTAGTTATAAATGCCAAACTAAGCCAAAATAAATTTTTATTATAATTCCACATTCCAAAAATATTAAAAAAAATGATTAGAATTCATTAAAAATTGTTTTATTTGCCTATTAACATATTTTAATTCACCAGTACTGGATTCATTAATTATTATAATTATTTATTAATATTATATACAAATTTATCACATTTTATAATATTGAGTTCAAATAAAAACTTTACTAAACAAAAATTTTATTAATTAATTTTTGATTACGTAATATTGTTAACCTAATTTATATATATATATATATATATATATATATGTATATATATAATATATATATATATATATATATATATATATACATATATCACTACAATTTAATATAAACTTTGAGCAAAACTTCGAACAAAACTCGTTGATTCATAACATTTTTTATCAGACAAAAATATTTTTCCTAAATATATCCGAGCACATTTTTTCACCAAAAAGATTTCCAAAATTTACCCTCACATATATTTTACTAAAACATACCGATTCAATCCAAGATTCAATATCGATAACAATTTTTTCCCAACTAAACCTGAATTAGTGCACATTTTAAGTTTTATACTCGTTTTGCAAATCCTCCTCGGCCATTACATCACATAATGACATACTCATATAGATGTAATTTCTATAATTTCAGAAAATTTCTGAATTATAACTTAGAAAGCGAACGATTTACTGTGTAATTTTGTATTTTGGAATTATGAAATATTGTGAAAAAATCGATAATGGAATTTTTATTCATGTCCTAAAACATTGACTCGTCCTCTATGAGGAGTACTAATCGATGATGAATAATCGATTGAATTAAAATAAAATGAATATTAATTTAATCAAATGTATTATATATATATATATTGTATATATATATATATATATATATATGTATATATATATATATATATACATGTATGTATTTATATGTAAATAGTGCAAATATTGCACCTAATTACGTTCAAAGTAAATTAGTCGCTGGCCTTGAATTTTTTCTTAAATTTCAAATTAGAAAAGTAAATGTTTATATACGTCAATACACCTTTGTAAAATGTGCAAAAAATATTCTGTGAAGTAGAAGTCACGAAATGAATTAATTTTAGAATTGATGCAATTTTATAATAAAATCTATAATAGGTACATTCATCATTATTAAGTAGTTGTGGGTTTATAGAAATGTGTAAAGTATATGTTAAATATACAACATCCATTACAAATTATGTCATTGATGTTTAAATACAAGGGCTAGTACAAAAATCTTAAGATTTTACACTAATCCCATTTTCTGGTCGCGCGACGTTTGAGCGACCCTCGAACGAGGGCAAGTTTCAGGTTAAAAACACATTTCAGGGACTCGCTGCCGCCCGCTTTTAATTATTATTAATATTTGCTATAAATATACAAACTTATGGCATCAAAGCATGATTATTACGATATTTTGGATTACATAATTATTTCTATAAAAAATAGCAAAATTTTACTGTAAATTCTAGAAAAAATTTGTTAAAAATGGAATTTACGAGCTTTAGTTATATTTCGCACTTAGAAGCTATAAAGATCAAAAAAATATATTTAAAACTATAAAAATGGAATAAATAAAAGGCGGTCTATGTTTATAATGTTTAAGAAAAAAAAATCTGATACATTTTTTTAAGATATCACCAGAATATCAGTTTCCGGCCAAACGTCGATTTAGCTACCCTCGAACGGGGACTTGTTTCAGGTTAAAAACACATTTTAGGGACTCGAGCTAAAGACCGTATTGAAAAAATATGAATATTTACAAAATATAATCAAATATAAAATGAAAACTTTTTCTATAATCATTTTTACACATTTATATACATATCGCTATTAATATACATCACGATTTAATTCAAAAATTATTTAACTAAACTAAATAGATAAAAAATATATATAATTTACTTTAAAATTTATTTATATAATATACTCTAAAATTTAAAATAATGTTTACAGTTTTGTAGGAATCTCTAAAAATGGTTAAAAATTTTGGAGATCTCTATAAAGTGTTTGAAAAATGTCTGGAAATTTCAAAAAATATTTCAAAGTTTGTGGGAATTCTAAAAATGATTAAAAATGTTTAGAGGTCTATAAATTTCTAAAGGAATTTCGAAGGGGACTTCTAAAAAATATTTAAAAAATGTGTGGAAATTTCAATAAATATTTTAAAAAAGTCTGTCATTTCTAAAAACAAAAATAAACTAAAAATATATTAGAATTGCTAAAAATGATAAAAAATATCTGGAAGACTCTGAAAGTGTTTAATAATGTTTATGGATCTTTAAAAAATATATAAAAAATGTCTGAAAATTTCTAAAAATATTTTAAAAATGACTAGGAATTTCTAAAAATGGTTCAAAATATTTAAAAATGTTTAGAATATATTGTAAGTCTGCGATGGCATTTAAAAAATGTTAGGACATCTTAAAAAGTATTTGAATAATGTCTGGGAATCTCTAAAAAATATATCAAAACCGTAAAGAAACTATGTATCCATGATCAATTAATTAATTTAATTATTTATTAACGAAATAACTTATTTATTAAGTAGTTAACAATTTATTTCTCATAAATCTATTTATCCAGTTTTGTTAGACAATGAACAAATTTCATTGACAAACCTTGACTATAGAAAAATTTCGTAAATTCGTCCGGAAGTTTGGTTAATAAACATTTACAAATTATTATTATATTGACCGTGATCTGGATGAGTACTCATTGTTCAATGTAAAAAAATATTAAATAATTATTTAATAATAAAAATGAAAGAATATTAGCCCTCTGTACTAAATGAAGTTTTTGTATCATTTGTGAATAAAATATTTGTGCAAAATTAAACGATTCAGTGCCAAATGGTTCAGAATGACTTGAAACTAAATAATTGTTGTTAAAGACTTGCCAAGATATTTGCAATAAGTTTAACCTAAATTCTATGCACAATCTATTGTCATCTACCAGTGAACATAATTTACCTAGTTATAAACAATTTCCATTACAATTATTATTATTATTATTAACAATCCAAGATGTACTACTTTAGATTATCGTTCACAAGTTAACCGTGATGAGAAAAGATTCAAGGAAATTTTACATGTTTTTCATTTCATTTAATAAGACGAGCGAATTATAAAAATTATGAGGTTGACAACAAACTAGACGACTTGTCGGAAATATTGTTCAATGTTCATTGAAACTTCATTGTTCTGACGTCATTTGCAAATATTAATTTGTTTATAAAAAATAAATACTTGATTTACGTGCAACTAATTGATTGAAACGCTCGAATTTGGATTGGAAGATTTTTTGTTCAGTAAAGTCGATATGTGAATTTATTATGTACTGTGTATCTTGTAGTAGTGAGTCATTAACAATTTTGTAATAAATTGATAAGTTTATAAATAATAATACAGCGAAGGCAAAATTCAGTTTTTTACCTTCTTCTTCGTATTCAAGAAACCTTTTGCGTTCAATGCAAAACCTGAATACTCAATACTTTAGGTTTTGCAATATCTATTGCAGAAATACGATTAGTATTTGCAAGATAATAGTTGTATATGTACACTGATATAGGTATATATATATATATATATATATATATATATGTGTATGTATTAATAAAACAAAGAAAACCTTGCTAACAGACATCCATCCAAATATAAAACAATAACCAAGATCTGTGTATTAAAAAAAAAACCCAAAAAAATCCATTTGTAAATTAATAAAATTTATAGAAACACCAAACCATTTTTTTTACTTCATTCAAAAAACTACTACAAAAATAGATTTTATCACTTATTACAAACAAAATACTTTTTATTTCAAAATTTTATCACTCATGTCACAAAAAATAAATGTGACTAACAGAAGTAGAAATTTTTACCAAAAAATCCAAGACTATTTTAGACAAAATAATTTAGCTAGATTTTTACTTTAATTAGTTAAACAATTCACCTGCCAAAAAATATCTTTACTGAAAATAAAATCTGAAAAAATATCATGCCAAGAAGACATCCCAAAAGTATAGAACAGAAACTTTCTTTCATTTTCAAAAACCATAAAAAATTGTCATCACATTTTCACAACCTAAAACTAGTTTTGAACTACAATATTACTACAATTAACTATTTACAATAAATATAAGTTCTTTAAGAGTACACCGAAAAAAATCAAATTTAAGGAAAAAATTCCATTACAATTATTATACTTAAAATTTGTATATTGTAAATAGAATAAATAGCAATAAAAAAAACAACTTTTAAGCTTCGTCTTTCACTACTCTATCACTAAAACCTATTTTAAATCAGTTTTACTTTTATCAACAAAATGCACTCATATTCCCTTACTTTTGAAAATGAAAATATTTTCCTAGTAGACAACAGAATAAAAAAAATCACAAAAATAATAATTCTAAATATTCTAAATAATAAATAAATAATAAAATAATGATTCATCATTATTTACATATTCTGAGCCATAAATTTGTAAAAAATCTACTTACAATCCAACGTAAAAATTATTTTGTTCTTTTTACACAGAAACAATTTCGAAAACAGTTGTTTTGAGGATAAAAACCATCTAATAATCATGATTATAAGAAAAATGAAACTAAAAAATATATGCAGAAGGTATTTTACTAAAAAAAATCAAATTTATGTACATATTTATGTACAAAAAATTAGAGCATAAAAATCATTTTGCAAGTACTAATTAAAATTAATCATAATTTCTTCCACTTTTTATATATGTCTCTTTTGCCACTATATCATTAAAAATGAATATCAAAATGTATTATTCATACTTATTAGGTCAATGATGACAATTCATCATACAATAATAAAAATTTGACCCTAAGACTCATGGAAAAAGTATTTAACCAGCACAAAAATCAATTCTACCTATTAGAAGAAAATCTAGAGCAAACATGTCAAATCTCAATTTTCACAATACTGTTAAAAATAAATTTCGTGTACTAAAAACAATATCAAAACAATCTAATTTATTTATACGAGATAGGGTAAGAGTTTTTTTTTATTTAGGCCAAAAATTTTTTTACGGGTATAACGTAAATGCGTGACCCTAAGGAACGAAAAGATAAGTAAATATTATTGTAAAAAAATATTCCTAGTAGACAATGAGAAAAACTGGAAAACTAATAATTACACACAATAACAGTTATAATGAATTCGTAAAATAAATTTGGATCGACTTACATTCTCCACCGGACTCCTCAAAACAAATATCTCCTCACCACCTTATCACCAAAAAACTATTTTTATCTTATCTATCTATCACTTATTATCACCCTGTCTCGTTGGTGTCTTTAGTCGTATTGAGGACAAGTCTCATCGTCTGATGATTATAAAATAAATTTGACCCTAGAGTTGGAGGCATCAGGAGGTCTATTGCATGCAACTTGCGACTTCGGCCGAGGAGACCGCGACGACGCCGGTCATGAATGACAATGAGATTCTAGTTGAGAAGAAAAAAAAAATTACCTCGATTCGGTTGCACAATATTTTCACACCGACGGTGAGAATTCAGGTGTTATAAATAAATAATAAATAAATAAATAAATAAATAAATAAATAAATAGTATATACAATATATATGTAAAGTTGGTGTCACGATGTTTGTCTGCGATAGACTCCTAAACTACTGAACCGATTTTAATTTTTTTTGACTCACCCTATGCATTTACATCCAACTTAGGTTATAGGCTATATTAAAAATCCCAGTTTGTATTCAACATAACAAAATTTAAAAAATTTCAATTAGCACTTTGACAATGTTTCTGAACAAATCGAAATAATTTGTTTATGATCATGGCCTCAAAGATATTATAGATAAAAAAAAATCGATTCTATCAGGATTAGAGCAAATCAGATCGATTTAATTTCGAGAAGGATAGACAAAGCCTTAGTTTTAAATGTCAATGCTAAGGTTTGTCGGTTTTCAAAACCGGTTTTGAAAACCGGTTTTTTGACAAAAATTGTGAAATTCGAAAAACCGGTTTTTCAGTGGAAAAATCGAATTTTGATACTTGGAATCTTATCGATCGATAAAATTTGGAATCATATCAGTCTGTTATAGTTCCCAGTAAGTTCTGTTATTTTTTTGTCATTAATTTAGATTATATATCAAATGTATATATTAATTTAGATCAATGTGACTTTTTGTTGAAGGAGTGAATTGCTCAACTCAAAAAAAGAGGTTTTAGCCACAAATAAAAAAACAAAATTTGAATTAATTAATTAAAATTGTTCGGAATAGAATAAACTAAAATAGACATTAAGTGTGTATCGATATGTACCTATTTTTTTATTTAATTAGAAGGTAAAAGTTTTTTGTTTTAAAATGTATTATTTTCATTTGTTCGAACTCTTTTCTTTCACTATCATACACATATTTTCATTCTTATACGTGAAAATAATGCATGAATAACGAATATTATTTTCAAAGTTATTTGATCCAGCTAAACTATTATTTTTTAGTTTCACTAATTAATATTAAATTAATTTTGTTTACTTTCTATAAAATTGAACAATAAATAAATTCAGTCAAATACTGCTCTAAATTACACTAAATTTACGGACAAATTACAGAATATTCGTGCAAAATTTATTTTCTATATAAATTCGAAAACCGGTTAAAACCGTTTTTTTTAGTAAATTAAAATCGAAACCGGTTTTCTGAAATGTCGGTTTTTGTATAAACCCTAGTCAATGCCTTAGTCTAAATGTTAGGAGTTGTTATAGTTAAGAAATTGCAAAAACATTTTTTTTTAATTATTATGAAGTTCACTTAAAATAAGTAAAGTAAAATAAAAATAATACGAACCGATCAGCACAACTGAAAATATTAAATTTAAAGCAGATGATGTTTCATACAAATGGAGCACATCATCCATATTTTAATCATGGATATTTACGTAAAAAAATTTCTTTCAGAAAAATCCTGAAATTCGTGGCAAATGATTTTATGAATAATATCGGTAAATAAAAATTCAGACTATTCTAAAATGTGACATTTTATTTTTCCCAAAATCCGAGCGATTTGTAAAAGAATAATCCATAAACGATATAATTATTTCAAACACGATTTTAAAGTATACCGAGTTGTGTAGGTCAAAATAATGTTAGAAAATATTATAGACAATTTAATTTTGTACAATTTTCCTACACCATTTAGATTCCACAAAAAGTTTAAAAGTTATAAAATTTACTAAATAAATGCACTTTTTCCCCACACGTATCTATTCATCGCATTTCTACAAGAACATAATCAAAAATAATGAAAATAGGATTTTAAACACTTTTTAGTCTTCAAAAGCGATTTTAAAGTATACCTAGTTGCTGTAGGTCAATGTGATGTTAGAAGAAAAGATTATAGACAATTTAATTTTCAACAAATTTGTAGATATTTTATTTAAATAAATAAATAGTTTCCATGTTACAAAATATCAAACAAGTACGTTGTTGATAAAAACGCATAAACTAATTATCTATTTTCAAGGGCAATTTTAAAGTATACCGACTTGCTGCAGGTCAAAATAGTGTTAGAAAATATTATAGATGATTCAATTTTGCACAAATTTGCGAAATATACTATTAAGATACCACAAAAAGTTAAAAGTTATAAATATTTTAGTAAATAAATGCGCATTCATGCTCCGAGCAAATTAATAACAAGTGAATGTACTTTTAGACGCTAAGATTTTTTATTTTGTTTCGATTGCGATTTTAGAGTATATCAAGTTGCTGTAGGGCATTATGATGTTAGAAATATTATGGACAATTCA